CCTCAGCACACCACTAACACGCACTCTCGGGAGTAAGTGTCGGCACAGACCCCTCGCCACAATCCTTTCCCTGCTGTCCATCAACATTATCTCTGCAGCAGACCAATTAGTCATCATCTGCCTTGTTTTGTTGGGCTCCCACTGTTGGAAGTCCTCCGATTCAATAAATTATTTAAATAATGGGCCTGTAATCATTGATGCTGATAATTTGGAGCCATTTTTAATACCTCAAATCAATTTAGTCTGCTGCCAATTTCACCACAACCCTCCAACCATTTTGTCATAAGAAAACTAGCCAAGACTATCGAATAAAACCACCATGAGCATCAGAATCAAATCATTCTTTAGAGTCTGGAAAATCCATTTAAATCTTGCATTTTTTGGAGTCTCATTGCAACAAACTATTTAGCAGAGCTATAGCAGAGCAACGTTGCCACAATCTGAATCTTTTGGCTCTCAGCTACTTGATTTTGGTGGTTGGAGTTTTCTTTCCTCATATAGCTAAAGCAGGCATATAGGAAGCCAGTGAGGGATCATGGTCATTGCAATTCTGGCAGGAAATGCACTTATTTTCAGATTTCATCTCCACAAAAGGAGAAATAGTCAGAAATGCAAGTTTTAAAAAATTCCTACATGATAACTCACATCAACACCTCAGCTTTCAGATTTCCTTGTTGCAAATTGATACATTCAACCAGAATGTGAGATGTGACATATTCTTGAATAAAAGGAAATTCACTTATTAGTCAGAAAAACCTTCAACTCTCACATGCATCAAACATGTCCGACTTTTTTTTCCATTCAACAGATAAAAGAAAGTTACCTAATGAAGTTGACAAAGGTGCTGAATCCATTTCTAGTCATCTTGTTATGTTGTTTGATATTAAAAAGAAACCCTAAACTGGAGACGTATATAATGCTATGAGAACAAAATGAAGGATATCTCAAGGTTAGTCATAAAAAAATAATCTACATCCATATCCTTATCAACCATCAATCTGTTATATGGCTGCATCTGAATGTCCGGTTGTGCTCACGTGAGTGTGTTGAGTAGGCATGTGTGTTTCGCCCACATACACACAGACACTCACACTTGTGCTGACCTTAACTCCAAAGCAGAGAGCCAAAGCTCTTAAAGTCTTAAAACTGATGGTGTGGATACTCCCATCTCCTGTTCGCTGTGTCAAGTCATTATAGTGCACCAAGTCATTAGCTGATGGTGTAGTCATCCATTACAGTTAAGAGGGAATATAGCAAAGGCGAAAGCAGAGATGATTCCAACTTCAAGATGTCCCGATCATATGAAGGGCGATTTTTCTTTCTTTTTCTTTGGTGCTCAATGTATCTCTATCACTGTCAAAACTTCTCAGAGTACCTGTTTTATGAGCTTTTTTTTTGCCTTTAGAGACAGGACAATAGAGTCAGAAATGGGGAGAGAGAGTGGGGAGTGACATTCAGGAAAAGGAGTGACAGGTTGGATTTGAACCCAGGCTGCCCGCTTAGAGGAATATAGCTGCCATTCATGTGGCACGTGCACTAACTACTGGCGCCCAGAGTACCTTTTAAGAGAGAATACATTATTAAAAGAAAAATCCGATCTGAGAGGTGTCATGTAAGATCTGCAAACTGAGTTGAAATAAACAGAGCATGATTCAATTTTTAAAGTTCTGGGAATGAAAGACTGACTTTGTTGTCCAAACTGCAAATGACTTCTCTTGATAAAAAAAAAAATGAAGGTCACAGAACAGTGGAAGGGAAACTGTGGCTTGAGATCCAAGAAAATATCCATCTCAATCAAAACAAATGATATTAAACAGAAAAAAACGGAACAGCTAAATCTTTTTTTTTTCTTTCATTGTCACATAAATGTTAAAAAACAGCCTGTCACGGTTCTGAAGCTCCTGGTGGCAGATTGATTGTTTAAAGCTCGAGTAGTCAAATGCCACACTGGCTCAATGGAAGTACAGCACTGTAATTGTGGTTCCTTGGTATAATTATTGTTATCAAATCGGCCGGCATATGTTCCACTAGATGCAGCCAGATTATCTATTTTTTTTGTCTCTGAAGTCTACAATTGTCTTTAAATGTGTAACCAGTGTCAGATCAGCCTCATGCTGAGCATAAGGACATCATTTCTCTATTATTTACAAGAATGCCAGGCAATGAGCTCAATTAAAGACTCCACTAATGGAGCCATATGAGATTTGATGCAAAAAAAATAAAGATCAAAAATAAAGCTAAATACCAGCATTACCAGTCAAAGGGTTCAGCCTGTTAAAAGGAAGTCTGCCCTTGCCACTGTTACTATCTACATGTTGGCAAGTACAATAACTTGATCTTCATTTGGACAATCAGCTTTCTGCATCAAAGAACTAATAACAAATTACTGCCTGGAATAAAATAAGTCTCAGATTGAAAATCTTTTGCAAAAAAAGTGAAATGTTGGCTGAAACAAACCAGAGCTGTATCCACTTTTAAATATTAAATACATTATTTAAATTGGTTTACAGAATTTTGTACTGTCATATATGTATTTTAATGTAATGTAATGTAATGTTATGCGGTTTTATGTGATCCATGTTGTACATTTAAACTCTGCTCTGTTTGTTTAACCAAAGGTCTAACTAGGGACAAGAGTTGGAAATTAGAAATAGCTCCAAACTCTCCATGCAGCACATCAGTTTCATGTTATGTTAATTTGCATTGTGCCTATTAAATAAATTAAATTCAAGTCAATTCAAGTGCTTTTTTTCATGGTTGATTAATGTCGGATTTCTGGAACTAACATTAAGATTGGTTTAGATCATATCTTTTTATGAAGTCTTGAGGAAACATTTGTCATGAATGGGTGCTAAACAAATAAGAAGTGTTGGATTCATTGAGCAACCTTGTCACAGGTCAACCTGCTCGGCATTATTTGCAAATGATATCCAAACGGATAACTCTTCATATAGTCAGTGATGAGAATACATTCAACAACACAAACACACCAAGCTAAAGCCTTCAGTGAGTGAGTAAGCTGGATGGATAGAATCATGATTATCATAACAGAAAACAGCTTAATCTGTTGGTGGTTCTACAATCGGAAAAGTTATTGTGCAGTGTTGTTGCAGTTATTGGTTGAGCCACTCGGTGGGGGGAAGGGGTTTTTGAGTGATGAGATGATCTTCTAATCTACCACCGTGTCCTACACTCTAAAGCTTACTCTCATTCATTCATGGAGACTACAAGACATATGGGTAATATGTTTATTAAAAATGTAGAACTCTTGGAAAGCCATTTCTCAAAACACAGGCTATTCTTAAGCTAATGCTCACGCCACACTGCAAGTGCCAACAACAACAATAACAACATTACAGTGATTGATATTCTCATCAGAACACATGCAGTGACAAAGTGATACGGTTAACATGACTGCAGCATAACTGAAGCTATGTGTTTGTATTTAGTCAATTGGCCCTATAGAGTTTTCATAACACTCATAACACATAACACGCAGAAGTTTTAAAACAATAGGAATAATCTTCAAATGTGCCAAGCTTTGAGTTGTGGTCGCACTGACGCTTTTACATGAATCAAGTTCCCAACAGATTGAAGTGAATAAATAAAATGCAGCATCAGTTTTGTAAGATCTAGTTACAGCAATAGAAGTAGATGAGCTTCCTGGTAGCAGTAACCAAGATTAACGGCGCCAGAATATGTTAACGTTTGCCTCTAAAGTAGAAAAACAACCAGCTGCAAGTCCACTGCAAAAGAAGAGGCACTGGAATAAATGTTTGCATTGACGACGTGCTATAAATATTATTATGGAATTAGTCGTTTTGCTTCAAAATATATTTCCTGGATCAATATAGAGATCATAATACTTGTTCACATTACAAACACATTAATGGAACTTTATTGTGAAAGGCGTGTATTCAGTTTTTATTAATTTTGTTCAAAATATGTTTTGATCATTCTATAAAACTTAAAAAACACTGATTAAGATGTCAAGTTGTGTCATCTATCAGTAAGTATGCAAAGAACTCGGTGAGGGAAAAAGGTCAGATGGTTGGAAACTTGGCTGATATAGAATGTAAGGCACTGTCACAGTTCATTGTGTTCGAAAATTAATGGGTGAACGATGACAAGGCTAGGAGTGATTCCAGAGAAGTGCAAGACAAGGCGAGAGGGGACCTTCAGAGAGGAATATTTATGTTACAGCTTTATGCTAATATTATGTGGCAAGCAATTACATCTGTATTCAGGCAGCAGAGCCTAACCATAATTGACAATGACATAGAAGGTCTGGTTACAGGACAGTTTGATCAGATGGAAAATGTCATACTCCAGTCTTGACTCGATATAATGCAGCTTTTTTTTTCGTTGGCAAGGCTAAAGAGTGATTATCAGTACAGAGATGAATTCATTATACACCGCAATGTTTGAATTCATTAGACAAAAATGAATATATTTAAATTCTAACATCATTATTTGCATTATTCATTATTGTGTTTATTTAATTGTGATGTCAAGAGAGAATATGGTAAATTATTTTTAAATTAAATGAACTTATTTTGTCCCTCAAATCGACTCTATGGTTGAACGACACTGAGTCTCTGCTGGGGCTCCTTTTTGGATGGTGTCCCTTTGAATATATGTGATTTTGCAACTCTGAAGTGATAAAACTGCTTTCTCATAGCAACGTCAAAGGAGGCAGACATTATATAGCCCAATTCATTACAGTCATTGAAGGGAAGGAGAGGAGGGGAGAGAGAGAGAGAGAGAGAGAGAGAGAGAGAGAGAGAGAGAGAGAGAGAGAGGGAGAGGGAGAGAGAGAGAGAGAGATAGCGGGGGAGGGATGGGGGGGGCTTCATTAAAGCTCCTGGTCTAAGCCCAGCCCATTCTGAATATGTAAATGTCTCAGGCAGAGAGAAAAACACAGCAAGAGAAAAGCGAGGAAGGAAGAGAGAGGAGAGAGAGGGAGAGGAAGAGGAGGGGAGCATGAAAAAGTGAGTGAGCGATCAAGGAAAAGAGAGCAAGGGAGCGAGGGAGAGAGAGAGAGAGCGAGCACTCTGAATTGTGAGTGGCTTACGACACTCAGTGAACAGAAGGTGCTTCTGCATGCGCTGTCAGTGTACAGCTCTGCTGCAAGGGATTGCGCGCTCCTTTGCTTCCCACATTTACCGCCCCTGCCTGCCTGCCTACCAGTACCAGCCTTCAGCAGCCTCTTCCAGCTGGCGGAGAAAAACACCCGGAGAGCACGGGAGTGAACGAAACTGCAAGCCACAGGGGATGCAAGCGGCTTCTTATCCGAGATGAGCCACTCTGATGACAAGGAATACTGATACCAGTGAAGACGGTTCACCTTTTTACATCCTTTTTCTCGGCGCCTCCGTCACTGAAATTATAATTACTCGCTTGAATGGATTTAAACCCTACAAGTCAGTTATTGCCTCAAAAGATGGACGATAATATGTGTTGACAGATCTGCTGAAACTTAAGAAGGAAGGGGAGGAGAAAAGAGCAAGCCAGATATTTAAAAGATTTTGCCTTGGTCTTTTTTTTTTCTTTCTCTGGTTGTCTCCTCTCCCTTCTGATCATTGCAGCAGAGGACTGCGGAGGAGCAAAAGAGACAGAGCTCATGCATGCAGACAGGGGAACTTGCACTTCCTACCATCTCGCTGAAAGCTACTTGGATTCCTTCTCTTTCTGGCTCTTTCACTTGAGGAGAACTAAGACATTGTAAGCCTGCCAAGGATCTGGTGTCCACTGAAAAGGGAGAAGGGAGGGGGGGAGAATTTGTACCACAGTGGGGTCTTTTTTAGATTCGCACATAATTAGTGTTGGGGCACAAAGCGAGACGCTGAATGGAGATTGTCAGCTTTTGGATAGGGGTGAGTAGGAACCTTTTCAAATAGGATCGATCAATGAGGACAAATTTTTCTGCCTCTCTGCTCTCCACCCAGTGCTTCATATCTAACGTAGTCAGAGAGGTTTGCTCTTTTTCCCTTTCATTTTCAACAAGGGGTTACTAAATAACAGAAAAGCAGCTAAATTCCAAAAAACGACACATATTAATACATTATAGAAATATGATGCAATAAATATGGTGTGATAAGTAAAAGAAAACAATATCCAGAGTGGTTCAATGGACATTTTCTCAGTGGCATCCCTGGATATTTATGCTAATGGATTTCCTTTTAATTGGACTGTACTTAAAGTGGCCACTGAAGAAGCCCCCTGGGTTGATACTGTGTGTATTGGGCATTTTTTTGAGAACGGTTCCCTTGGTGGAGGGGGTTTGTCCAAGGCTGTGCCGCTGCGACAGCAAGCTGCTGTACTGCGAGGGGCTCAACCTCACAGACATTCCCCACAATCTGAGCAGCGCCATGGGCCTGTCCATGAGAGAGAACAACTTGACCGAGCTGCGTGAAGGCCAACTGGCTGGTCTGTCACAGCTCACCTGGCTCTACCTAGATCACAACAACATTGACATTGTAGAGGAGGGTGCATTTGACAGGCTAAGACGGGTCAAGGAGTTAGACCTCAGCAGCAACAGGATTGAGAATCTGCCAAATGGTACCTTTAGGCCCCTCCCAAACCTGCGTATCCTGGACCTCTCATACAACAGGCTGCAGGCACTCGAGCCTGACTTGTTTCACGGCCTTAGGAAGCTGACCAATTTGCATTTGCGCTACAATGCTCTAAAATTTGTGCCAGTGCGGATTTTTCAAGACTGCCGGAGCATGCAGTTCCTGGACTTGGGATACAACCAACTGCAGAGTTTGGCAAGAAACTCCTTTGCTGGCCTCTTCAAGTTGACTGAGTTGCATCTTGAGCACAATGAGCTAGTGAAAGTCAACCTAGCCCACTTCCCTCGCCTCATCTCTTTACGTACTCTGTACATGCACAACAATCGAGCCACTATTGTTGTCAATACCCTGGAATGGACATGGCATTTTTTAGAGAAGATTGACTTGTCAGCCAATGAAATCGAGTACATCGAGCCACATGTTTTTGAGAGTTCACCCAACCTGAAGGTTCTGATGCTGGACTCCAATCGCTTGACCTCTGTGGACCAGCGCATCCTGGATTCCTGGTCATCTCTGGACAGTATTACCCTGGCAGGGAACGACTGGGAGTGTAGTCGCAACGTGTGTGCCTTGGCCTCTTGGCTGAGTGCCTTCCGAGGCCAGCGTGACAATTCCCTGCTGTGTTCAAGCCCCGACACCGCACAGGGTGAGGATGTGTTGGATGCTGTCTATGCTTTTCAGCTATGTGAAGATCCCCCAATGGAGGTAACTACAGCAGGCCTGTATGCCTCAACAAGGGATCTGGCCCAGGGTGGATCTGTTTTCCTGGGCCCATTTACTCCCAACCCTTACGAGGGTGATGGTAGTGAGGTGGTCACCAGTTCATTCACTGTCACGGTGGGCCACGATGACCTGGAGAGCACCATGCAGATCCACAAGGTGGTGACTGGCACCATGGCACTCATCTTTTCCTTTCTCATCATAGTGCTCATGTTGTATGTGGCATGGAAGTGCTTTCCAGCTGGAATAAGGCAGCTGAGGCAGTGCTTCAGCAGTCAGCGCCGCAAGCAGAAGCAAAAGCAAAGCATGCAGCAGATGGCTACAATTTCTACGCCGGAGTACTATGTTGACTATAAGCCGAACCACATTGAGGGAGCACTGGTAATCATCAATGAATATGGCTCTTGCACTTGCCAACAACAACCTTCTCGGGAATGTGAGGTGTGACCCTGCTGTGTGAGTGCGTCTTTACCTGTGATTATCTGGATATACAGTAAATCCCTTTTTTTTGGATACTCTGGGGATTGGACAGATGGATAAAGGGATCTTTTGGACTCTTTTTTTACACAGCATCTCACTGTGATGTGGAAGGAGTGTGCTTTATGCAGCAGACTATTTTGCGGTGGATTTACTGCTATTCCTATCTACTGCTGATCTGACGCCACGGGGCATAAAGGGCACCTGACTTTTGGACCTGATGATGTTCTACAAAAACACAGAGAGGAATACATTGTGGGCACGGAGGCTTTTCTCTCAAGGGTGGATATTTGAGCTTTAATGTGTCTTTCTACTTCAGGACATTTAATTATTGTTTGAAATGAACTGGGGACACACAAAAGAAGAAAAAAAAGAGAGAAAAAAAACAAACCATTTGTATTATGGTTCACACAATATTTGACAAGCATTTAAAATATAAAAAAAAACTGTTTAAGTTGGATTCAAATGTAAAAATAAAGTCTGTGTAAAATATGTTCAAAGAAGAAGCGCAAGCGTGGAGAAAAAATGATACAAGATAATCTATTTCTTTTGTAAACTACAAAAAATGTTTAAATAAATGAATTGCTATCCACAGTAAACTCATTTGTACGTGAGAAGCTGTCAGAAAGGGTGAATGACAATAGATTCAGTCTATCCGTGGCCATATCTCTGCAGTGTAACGAACCAAAAAAAAAAAGATATACAAAAAAAATGAAGGGGCAGAGGGATATCTGCATCTCATCTTTAGTGTAAAACTCATAGTCTGAATTTTAGATCTGTTCTCTGTTTTAACTTTCATATTTGTTGTTTTATCATTCACTGTGTGGGCTATTATCAGTGTAGTTTCTTTACCCCTTTCCATTGCTTATGGGAGAATAGATTTAAATGATCTATTAATTTTTCCGTTGGTTAGCATATTTTCATACTATTATATCCGTATTTGTGTACCATCCAAGTAAAGAAAGCAGAGTGTCAAAGATCTAAAGCTATGCCTCTCATTGCCTCTCAATCTTTGGCTTTCACAGGGGGGGGGGGGGGGTAAGCCTCCTTTCACTGAACCAAGCACACTAAAGACAAACATTGAAATAATGCATACTTCAATAAAAATACAATTTCAGATTGTATGCGAATCGTTGAAGAAATTATCCAGCAGCTTAAAGGAAAATTTGCACATACGATATCCTTCACTGTGTTTTTATGTGATGTAATATGTTTGTTGAATACAAGGCCATTCTGAGGTGTATATATATCCTTCTTCCTCTGGTGTTTATTGTGTAATTAGTGCACTGACAGATGTTGTGTTTCATGGGTCTTCTGACATGACTAGTATGTTGTGTGTGTGTGAACGGAGGGGGTGGACAGTAAGAGTGAGATGGAGCATCAAGACGACTGCAGAAAGAGGGAACAGACTGCTCTCTAGTGTGCATATTCTCATACTGTGGCTGCGTTTTACCTATTGTGCACCATTATCTGCAGACTTTCACAGCAGGAGAATCATAAATATTCTGAAATTGCAGCAGCTTTTCTGAAAAAAATGCATCAATTTGCAACCATTTCTTTTGTGTTATTCTGAGTTAAATTAAGATAATGTTTACAACTTGTAAGTCAGCAGGAATAAAAACATGTTTTAAAGACTCATTGACAATCATTACATAACAGTAAAAAAAAAAAAGAGAGAGTTAAATGTTAACTTCAGATAAATCTACATTGTAATTGCACTGTTTTTGGGAACAATCTGCAACAAAAGGGTCAGAGAACAAAAAAAGGTAAAAAATTGGTTCCTATTGGGGCCAAGAAATCTTTTGGGGTGTTTTACATTAATGATGCTCTTATAATCTGAGAGAGGCACACAAGTCCCTAAATTACAAGGTTAGATTTTGTGTTTAATAACACTGTTTTGGGGGTTGAAGATCATGATCAATATTTTAATGAATCTGACGGATATTTCACAAAAATAGTAAATCTACTGAAGCTAAAATGGTAGCTATTTGTTATTATGAAACATTTTTACAATATTTTGTGTGGATATTGCAAGGATTGGACCCTTTATTCTTTTAAACAAAAGATTACTTAACTCAGAAGGGACAAACAAAGTGAGTCAAGGGATATAAGTATCCAATTATCTTCTTTCCCTGACATAGCTTTTAGGATTTCCCTCAGGTATATCCCATCACCTATAATCAGCATGATTAATGTGAATGGTATGATGGGTATTTAGTGGTCTACAACTTGGTACTCTAACTTGAACCTACATTTTATTTATAACGTAAATACATGATTGCGATATATATAATTCAAAATTACTTACAGGTTCCTTTCAAATTCCAACAAACAATTTCAACTCAAAATGTATCTCAGGTTGTTTTTTTAAACACTCACATGTGTCTGTGTTTGAGCTTCTTTGTCTTCACACATATCCATGCCAAATAACACTTACTGATGACGAATGATGACTTTTCAGCTAAAACTGACCTGCCAGTCTGTGACAGTCAGTTTCAATAAACCAGTGTTAAAAAGGAAGTGGCTCATGTCAGCCGGAAATAAAATTGCAGTCAGAGTAATGGAGTCACAATGTACTTTCATACATTTGGTCTATTGACATGTAGATCAAGTCAGGTGAACACCAAGATAAATAGTCTGCATGTAGTGCTTAAGTTGCAAAAGCCCTAAACTTTGTGCTTATTCGTTCCAGGACAGGTTTTGGAGAGTGATAATGGCTTAAAGTTGCCATGTGCGATTTATGATCTATTTCTTATTTATGGTATCAAGGGCGTCCCACTTTAAACCTCCACATAGCTGTTAATCATAACCTGCTGTATCATGTAAATGCAAATGACTGCAGTATATACAGCAGGGCATCATGGCAGGGACAGATTTATTTTACTCTCACGTCTTCACATCCTGTCGAGGGTTTTCTCCACCATCCCAGCCATTCACGCTAGCCCCTTTAAACATGCAACTGCTGGGTAAATTTAAGGCTGTTAAGCTTCATTTGTATAAATATTGGATGATGCCTGGCATGGAGGCACGCACTGGCACCACTATTGATTTCATTTCAGTCTTTTCTTGAACAAGCAACCAGGGCAAAAGGTGATAGAGAGGGGCTCTGAATATTTTAAAGGCTCTGAGTCCTGAGGGTTGACATTAAAGTACTTAAGACTTATCGCTATCTCTTCTCACCTTCACCTTCTCCCTCTCTTTATCCGTTTCTCACTGTGCCCATAAAACACAGTAAATATAGAGAAAAACATCAATTCATCTAACTGACAAAAGATCAAATCTTGACCTAAGCCTGGGGTGATATTTCCCCTGAGGGATCTTACGAGCTCTCAGACAGCATCCATTATAAAGACCTTGATTTATGATACTCAGTAGGAATCAATATAGATGAGTGGTAACCAAAATGATCATATCGAGAACAAATGTATTCATGTGCCCCTCACATTTTTAAGCATACCTGATGGATGACAATGATATATGTTGTTTATATGTCCATTGATAATTGATTTACAGGCTGATTAGTGTATGGCAGGGTTGCTGTGGTGACTGACTAACACATGTCCGATCACTTGATATGTGATATTCTTTGAAGAGTAGTTGTGTAAGGGAGTGTGACATTTGTTCTGCAATAGCAGAGCTGTTAGCAGCTGTTAGCCAGCCAAAGGATATACAGAGGCTGTACGTACAATGCACACACTAATAGGTCTGGTGCTATTGTTTCGCAGCTTATGTGTTCAAAAACTGAACATGTGGTGAATGGCTGCACATGCAGCTACGTTAGTGCACGTGTGTGGTTACAAATGAGCACAACAGACCTGGAAATCATGCGGCGTCTTGGATTGCATGAGGGCAACGCTGAAATGAGAAGTCTCAAAAGGAAGGTGGATGTGAAAGCAGAGTTACTGACGCAGAAAGTAAAAGGTCAAGACAATGAAATGAGAAAATTCAGGGGGGATGCGGTGTCCATGAATTGGAGCATTCTGTACATGAGACATGGGTCACAGCTGAAGGTCAGAAACTAACAATAGAGGGACCCTGTGGGCTCAAACTGTACAGGTAGCAGCTAGTCGGGATCAAAACAAACGCAGTGTAGCTTCATTATCAACTACCCTTGTCGGAGTTTGAGCCTCGTTCAAACAGAAAAGTGATGGGGAAAACGTTGGTTTAGAGTTCAAAATGGGATACACATTATTAACATCTATTTATGCTAGTGAGTCTTCATTTGCAGTTGCTTTGCCAGTGCAGCACTGTATGTAGTCAGTGACAAAACATCAATCTGCAGATCTTTGGGAAATAGCTTGCATCACATTCTGCCGCAAGGGGTGGGGGGGGGGGGGGGGGTCGTGGGGCTTTAGAGATGAAAACAAATCCTTAAAAAATAAATTAAACAGGCTTCCATGAGGGCTATCGATCGGGCAGCATTCTGCCATCTCATTGGGACTAGGACTATGCTGCATAATAAAAGCTCAACACCCCCTCATAACTGGACTGAGAGCTAAATCATGGGTGGCAGCATGCACTGCAGCAAGCTGTAAGGAGCTGCTGATGACTAATGACAATGAGTGGGTGGCTTTCCACTGCTTCTTTTATAACAGGTGGGTCATCAGGATCAATATTCTAATCATTATTATCATTTTCTTTGTGTCCAAAACCTCTAACTCAACAATTTTACTCATTGAAAAGTCACTTCTCTACCTTCTTCTAAAAACTTTTAGGTGATTTTCATGCACGGAATTTTACAACAACAAACAAAATACTAGAACATAAAGATCACTATAAATTATAGCTGTCAGCATTAAGGTCTGAATGAATGCATTAATTGTTTTTAATCACTATTAATCGCATCCTATTTTGTCCCTTTAGGTGCACAGTGAATAAGCCTTCACTCCCTGTAGTCATAGTGATTGAAAAATATTACTGCTGCATCTTTAAATGTCTCATTTCACTTTAAGAAACTCTCAGACATCTCTGCTGATGAGTCAGAAGTAATATCCACCTTATGAGATCAAACATTTACCCTTTTTGCCGTTCCTTTGAGATGTTTTCATTTGGTTTTTCATCCATAAGGAGTTCCTTTTTCGATTGTTAAGTTGATGTCGTAACCTTCGATCTACCAGAAGGTCCTTGCTTTATTTCAAAAATAAAAGCATGGTTGAATTCAAATATCAAGTAAAGTACTCTCAGCTTTAGAAAAAAAGTGAAATAATGGGCGATTCAAATTTGATTAATCATGATTAACTATTGAAATTAAGTGATTAATCGCGATTCGATATTTTAATCGTTTGACAGCCCGAATGTAAATATCCTATTACTGCACTGAACTCATCAACAAAAATACAGCAACTATGTCACAGTCACCACTATGAACATATCTGTACTGCTCTGAACCAGAAATACTATAAGTAAATTACATTAACATTGCTATGAGTATGAGGGTATGAGATATGAGTATGAGCGCACTAAAATGAATGACAACATAAAGGATAAATACAAATCTATTGATGTGCTTTTTACTGACTTTACAGACAAAATAATGGAAAGTATTGACCTACAAAATGAATTTCCACTCTGGGTATCAGTGAAGAATTACCTTATTTTTTGCCAAAAATGACATATTACTGCATTGAATTCAGTGACAAAACTTGAATATTCATTTAACATGCATGTACAAGCTGCCGATAACGTAAAAGAGGGCCA